GCAAAAAATGCAAAACATATATAAATATATATAATAAAATTAAAATATAATTAAATTAAAGACCTATTTTTATATGTATACATATAAAAATATTTTTAAATATTTTACATATAAAATATTTTTATTTGTATACATATAAAAATAGTAAAATATGCAGTGTGTAATGTATTGTGCATACTATATATTGTACATAACTCAAATAACATACTTCAAGGATACGCTCAGTGAACCATACGAGAATTTCGCAATGCTTAGAAATCATATTTACAGTATCTGTAGGGCTCTCATATATTCAGGTATACATCAGGTAACATTTCTATTTCGAAATATGTTAAGTAATGGCATGCGACAACAATTATGACCTTTATATTAAAGTTTCTTATCCTATAATAATTTTATCTTATAATAATTAAATTCTCAAAATGTTAATGAAATTTTAAAAGCTATTTTTTTATTTGCACGGTGTTAATAATTTGTACTATTAACTAGCAAAGAAATAATAAGAAGGATATGGTATAATTTTTTACGATTTGTGATTAGAAGTTAATTAAATAACAATCGGAAGATTTCAAAAAATACACACTTTTAATATAATTATTTATAGAATTTTCCAAATATGATAATTTTGTTGAATCAGAGATAAGAATTTATGTAAAGTATCATCTCACAAAAAAGATAAGATATAAACGATTATCAATATTAAAAATTTTTATTTTAGATTGCATATGTGAGAAACACAATCAATACTAGAAATTTAAAATGCCTATTATGGTCGAAGCTAAATCTTCATTGCTTTAAATAATTTAATCTTGAATTAATAATATACACTATGTACTTACATATATACCATAATAAAAAGACTATATGATATATATTTAAGTACATATATAGTGTATATTAATAATTCAAGATTGAATTATTTAAAGCAATGAAGATCTAGCTTCGACCGTATAATAGACATTTTAAATTTCTAATAAGCGATAATATTGTTTACAAGTCTGAATTCTCTTTTACAATTAATATAAACTAAGTAATAATAATAGTAACAAAACATATGCGCAAATACAGAAATTATAAGTAAATATTATATAAAAAGATTATGGATACAATTATTGTAAATAATAATGTCAATCGTAAAAATATAATAATAAAGTATGTGCAGATACAAAACATTACATAAATAATGTAAAAAATAATAATATTAAATTTAATTTACGTAAGTTATATAATTTAATTTATTAAGTTATATAAAAGAAATCATATAATAATAATAAAAATATGCTGATAATAAAGCAGAGATAGTGAAAAAAAGAGTTTAAATTTCTTTTTTCATTACTATTCAGTATTAATAAAAAAAGAAATGATAAATCTAAGGAAAATGTAAAGAGAATGTTGTGACCTCGACTTACATTGGCTACTATTTCTTGCTGCAATATCTATCGTAGAATCACATTAATGTAAGAACTAATCGGTTATTGAGTAAACAACTTTTCATCATCAAATTTTCATTTCTTTAAACTTCATAATGACGTTTATTAATTTGTCTAATTAATTTATAAAAACCTAATTAATTTATAATACCTTTTAAATAAAATTTATTATTTGAGATTAGGAGAAATTATTTGAAAGTTACAGAATACCTTTTAATGAATATTATTGTTATTGTATATGTATAAAACTCTCTTATTGTATATTTAATTTCATGTATAAAAGAAATTAAAATAATTGAAATTATATCAAGTAAAAATACTATATAAATTTTGCGTTGCAATCTTTTCATAAAATAAGATATGCAAATTTAATAAATATTTTAAATAACGTTTTAAAAGATTTTTATTTAACTAATGTATTAAGAAGTAAAGAAAATTCTGTCTTAGACCGCTTCCTAAATAAAACTAATAAGTCACGATAACATTAAAATAATAACATCAAAATAAATTAGAAATGATTGAAATGTAACTTTTAATAATTATTTTAAAGTCATTTTCACCATAAATGATTGAAATGTAACTTTTAATAATTATTTTAAATTAAAAGTAATAAAAAAGGCTCTGTACTTATAAACAAAAGATAATATAAAAGAAGGGCAAAGAGTCGATAACGTATAAAAGAATTATAATTTAAATAAGCAAAAATAATACAAAACAATTAAAATAAAATAAAACAAACGTTTCAATTCCAATCGAGTCATTTTCAATGCAATCTTACAATAATATAAATATCGTTCTAAATTAAAAATTCGTACATAATCTTACAATATTCTTACAATTCCTTAATATAAAATTTCTTCTTTCTGTGTAATACGCTGCGAGTCATTTTTATCAAAAATTAACAAAGTCATAAGAAAATTCTGGAAAAGTAACCGTAAACAAAAAGAATTAATATTAATCACATAAAAATTAATAATATGATAATGTACCTTAGTAAATCTATTAAGAGTCCAATAATACACAACGAGAAAAAAATGTAAAATGTGGTCCATTTCGTGGTACAATAAAATAGTCTTTTTAATTTAATAGGTTATTATAAGCATTTATAAGCAGAGTTTTGTAACCTAATTAAATGTAGCGTTAATATTAGAACTCGCATCAGATTCTTGAAATCTTGTATTAATCACAATATAGTTCCGCCACATCTTAAAAGATATACTAATATTAGAAGTTTAAATTTGTTTAATAGTCATTCTTACAGACGACTTCATTTCAGAATTCAGTTTAACAATGTGAAAGCAATTTTGCAATTGGAGTTGAAGGATTCTTACAGGCATTTGCATTTTATTAGAATGAGCATCGTTGATTTTTCCTTTAAAATCCATTATGTTTTATCGGTCTCCATGGTTTGTGAGTTTTTCAAATACTTAGATAATATTAATAGTTTTTACTTTTATCAACATATAAGGAAAATTGACAAGAAGATTTTATGGTTGAAGAAAAAAGATTTTAAAGATAAAAAAACAAATATTAAGTCAATTTCTTACTGTTGTGCTTCGAATAATGAACTGCTTAATAAAATTACATCTAACAAGGTCATTAATGACATTCCTGTACAAAGTATAGAAAAAATTCATATTTCGGCTGAACTGTTTGGAGATGCGGCTCCTCTAGACGTTTTAAATAATAAATGGTTTCTTAATTTGAGCAATGTTGACATGCCTTTAGAAGTCCAATGTCTGCTTCAGTTGGGGGAAGGCTTTGGTCTTCCTATTAATAAACAGAATATTGATAGAACATTGATAGAGTTTATTAAGAATGTTGAGAATAATATTATTGGCCGTCGGAATAACATAATTAATTTTGTTAGAAATAATAGTGTTTCAATTATGGATAAGTTTCGGAATGATTTTCCTAGGACCAGCTCGAATGACAAGTTATTATTCGATTGGTTTAAGACAACGAAATTATTTAAAAGATCATCCTGAAATATTAATTTCCAAAGCTGATAAGGGTAATGTCACCATTGCTCAAAATAAATTAGATTACATATCCAAGATGGAATTGATACTTTCGGATAAAAATACATATGAGTTAATAACTAAAGATCCTATAAAAAAACTTACGGGTGATTTACGTAACTTGCTTAGTAGGTGGAAAGGAAAAGGATTAATAGATGACTTGACGTATCGGAGGTTGCATACGACTGATCATTCCTAGAGCTTATGGTTTGACGAAGATACATAAACAAAACTATCATCTGAGAATTATTATTTCATCTTTAAATAGCCCATTATATAATCTGTCATTATATAATCTGTCATTGTTTTTGCATAACATTATTACAGATTTTATACCAGAGACTCCTAGTTTCACAAAAAACAGCTGTGACTTGATTAATAAACTTAAGAATGTTAAACTGGAATCAGATTCTGTTTTGGTTTCTTTGGATGTGGTATCTCTATTTACTAATATGCTTATATGTATATAGATTTGGCATCTGATAATGTGGTTGTAAGGTGGGATGCTATATTCAAGAAGACTAAAATTTCTTTGGACGAATTTTTGATAGCCTTTCGAATGGTTCTGAATTCGACGGTTTTTATTTTTAATAAAAAAATATACAAGCAGATATTTGGGACCCCCATGGGTTCACCTTTGTCACCTGTTGTTGCAAATATTGTTATGCAGGATTTTGAAAAAATGGCTATTGGAATGCTGCCTTGTTGACTGCTATTTTACTATCGATACGAGGGCAAGGTGAAAAGTAACCGACCTCAACATGAAAACATGAACTATGTACAAAGTTTTTAGTTAAGTACCAAGTGTTATATATCAAATTACTCGCATTGAAAATATCTATAATTTCTCCTTTGACCACTTTGCTAAACAATTCATAGCTAAAAAGTTAAGAGTAAAAAATATATTAGCGCTTTTTTTTCAAATCTGCCGCAGCAACTTATAAGCCTACCGAGCCTATACTAACCTGTAGAGAAAAATGGTCAAGGCAGAAATTGTAGCCGCCTTTAATGTGAGCAATATGATATGTAACACTTGAATATACTTACTTTTTACCTTGCCCTCGTACGTTGATGATATCTTAGCCGCTCTGTCTGAGAGTGTTTGTGATATTTTGAATATTAATTCGTTACACACTATATTACAGTTCACCATGGAGATTGGCCTTGATGGAAAAATAAGTTTTTTAGATACGATGTTGATTATTGAAGAACGGAATCTCATCTTTGATATATACCGTAAAGCAACTTTTTCTGACAGATTTCTTAATTTCCATTCATACCACCAACTCCATAAATTATACCTCTTTTATGACTTTGTCATTCTGATATCAATATAAGTTCAAAATCTCCATCAGTGATTTCCAACCATCGTATTGAGGAGAATTATAACTTTAAATGGGATAAAGTGGAAATATTAGATGTAGAGCCTTCATACAATAAAAGATTGATATCTGAAATGGTCCATATTAAAAAACAGAAGCATGGGATTAATAGACAAAATGACACGGACTCGTTGCCGAATTTGTATTCTGACATTATACATTCTCTTTCTCCTTTCTAACATCTTCTTTCCTTTTCCCCCTATTTTTTCGTTTTCCGTTCTCGATAATGTTTTTCTGCTTGACATTTCATTTTTTGACATCGTGTAAGTCAGATGCTCGTTACCTTTGCGAATTTGCTTACAATAACTTATTAAATTAAAAAGACTATTTTATTGTACCACGAAATGGACCACATTTTACATTTTTTTCTCGTTGTGTATTATTGGACTCTTAACAGATTTACTAAGGTACATTATCATATTATTAATTTTTATGTGATTAATATTAATTCTTTTTGTTTACGGTTACTTTTCCAGAATTTTCTTATGACTTTGTTAATTTTTGATAAAAATGACTCGCAGCGTATTACACAGAAAGAAGAAATTTTATATTAAGGAATTGTAAGAATATTGTAAGATTATGTACGAATTTTTAATTTAGAACGATATTTATATTATTGTAAGATTGCATTGAAAATGACTCGATTGGAGTTGAAACGTTTGTTTTATTTTATTTTAATTGTTTTGTATTATTTTTGCTTATTTAAATTATAATTCTTTTATGCGTTATCGGCTCTTTGCCCTTTTTTTATACTACCTTTTAATTATTTTAAAGTCATTTTGACATCATTATTTGAAGTTATAATGATTTGTGTTCTACTGAAGTTAAATCCTATAATGTTTCGAATGTTTATAATAAGAAAAAAGCACTTGAACGCCGTATCTATTTTTAAAAAAATATTTTTTTAAATACCAGTGGAGAGGAATTCTTGCGCAATTATCTGCAGACACAATTCTACTACTTTTTATGAAAACGAAATCGCCAAATTGTCTATCCACTGGCAAAAAATATATTAATGTAGCAGGGTACTATGTAGAAAAATAATTTGTTTTCTTTATATTTTTATTCTTGTCCAATAAATAATAAAAAAAAATTCTCGTTTATATTTGATCCATTCTTGTATATGAAATATTTTGAAAACAAATATTGATCATCTCGAGGATATTGTGACCAAATAAAGTCGATCATAATTGAAAATAATATACAGCGAAATGATCATTGCAACGATACGATATCCTTCATTTCATTCATCTCACGTATTCTCATATGTACGTAATGTGCATCAATAATATTTTGTTTATTTGATTGAATACACTGTGCGATCTCAGTGTTTTATAGAACTCGAAAATTTTTGTAACTTATTTATTTAAATTATCCTTATACTTTACATATACATATAAATGACAATGTTATTAATATTAAATATTTTTTAATTATTATTAGGTGTTGGAATTAATTCGTAGCGTTTTTTAATGAAAGAATGTTATTTATTTCACATGAGCATTAAAAAATACATTAATGAAAGTACTTCCCATCACTTGTAAAACGCTACGAATTAATTCCAACACCTAATAGTATAAATTACATTATTATGATTATGAACTCTTTAATTATTTTTGTCACATCAATAGGTCAATTCGCTCATATTATTTTCAATTATTATGTGGATGTCTTATCAATATAAATTACAGTCAATATAAATTAGGATTTATATTATGTGAAATTGTTAAAACTCACGAAATTTTCCAAATTCCATTCACGTTCACACGCACAGATGTTAACGTTGAATTGGGCATTTATACATGCGAAACATGTACAATCAGTTCTTACGATCGCTCGCACGACAGCATTACATATGTCTTCTTGTTTTGTGAAACATAATTTTGGAAATTCCCATTGTGATGCACAATGGGTGATTAAGCAAAGATTCCTTTTAGAACATCACTTTAATCGAAACAATATGGAGTTGATGATAAAAAGAAAAATTAAGAAAATTAGAAATTCGAAGCAAAATATGATTTTAATCTTCAAAAAGAATACTTTAAAGATATTCTTTTTAAATAATTCATCAAGATATCCTTTTCAAACATTTAAGAAAAAGTAAATATTCTAAATGAATAAACAATATTAATCTAAATAATTTCTATTTACAAAAAGAACGTATTAAAATAAAAAAATAAAAATATTAAGGATATGACATATAAAGTAAATAATTTGAGCTTATCAGATAAAGATATTATATTATTATTATTATTACATTTTATTGTATAAATAAATAAAATTTTATTGTATAAATAAAATTCTGAAAAGCAATTTTTCTAAATTGAATTTTCAGATAAAGTGGAGAAACGACTGCGAATTATTCTCAATGAAGGTTCTAAAAATATAATGGACTTCAACAATATGAAACCAGAAATACCGTCTTTTTATGACGAGAAGAAATTTCGATTGGGTCAGCAAGCCTTTCATAATAATATATTCTCTATGATGATTGCAAAACTTTGCGGCCTTGTATCCCTTTTAGCAATTTCAACTATATTGGATGTAGTTATGTTTACCAAAAAAAGTGGCACTCCTTGTTTGGCGTATCGCAGATATGCAGAGACGGTGCTTCATACATGTGTATGGCATAAAAAGGATCCCAACGGCAAACCAAATGAGTAAGATTCAAATAAAAGAAAACAAAAGTATTATTATATTTAAAAAAATATTGCGAAAGAAACAGTATCTAAAATCTTAAAAATGAAAGTAGCATTAAAAAATATTTCATACATATCTATATTAATATATACTATATTTAATAAATAAATATATATATTTAATATATGTATATCTTTATAATTATCAATATCAATGTACATGGTAATACACAATTACAGTTAAATATCCGAAATTTGATAAAAATTAGGACTAAAATTACACGGTAAATTTATAAAAATATATACATTTACTATTAAAGGATTATT